CACATATGTATGGATAAAACGTGTGTGTGTGTGTGTGTGTGTATAGGCTATATATATATATATATATATTTGTATTTTTGAATATTTGATACATATTGCCCAGCCCTACTGGTAAGTGAATATTAAAGCACTGATTGGATGGTATAGGTGTTAGATGGCATTAATTGTATGCTATTGATTGAGTGTATATAGTGTTGATGTGTTTACGGAAACTACACTACAGCCAGTGAGCATTTCCAAGATACTGACAATAGTACTGCAAATATGACCAAACACAGGCGTCTTACACTGAGCACATGTTGAATTATGAAGTTAGTGGAACTCTGAGATGATCATTACTCTTTTAACCAGGCAGTTCAACACTGTACTATTCCACATCTGTAACGTCAGAGCATGTTTGAAATGTAAATGCTGATCATGTGATGGTTAAAACTTCAAACTTTATATTTCTTTTTTTATAGTTCTTTTTTCTATTATTTAGCCGGGCGTCTTGTCTTATGGAAGATGTAGGTTAGTGTTTAAAGGACCTAGATCAAAAGTTAATAAAAAAGAAAAACAAAATTAAATGTTTTGGTGTTACTTTTTACATATTGTAAAGCTATCAGTGTAGCTTGAACACAGCTCTCTTGTCGTTGATTTACTTTGGTCACGTTTTCATTCAATGCTTTTTGAGCATATTTAGATAAGCGTTGTTTTTAAGAATTAATAGTTTACACTGATGATGTAATGGTTTTGATGGACTCATGTTACACTGTCTCAGACTACCTTCAAATGGCAATAATCATGATATAAGTCTGTTATATCTGTTATGTTTTTTCATTGACACAAATGCTATTGCACCAAATTGTTATTTGTCAGATTTCTGAACAACATTAAAACAAACAAAATGAGTTGTGTGTTTTTGTTTTTATGTTCTGGAAAGCAGTAGGTGTTTTTTTCTTCTTACGGTTGTTCATTGAAACATTGGGTTCGTTCTCCTTGGCTGAATAACCTCACCAAGGGCATGTTTACTTTTACATTACCATTGTGGACAGGGGAACGAGTGACCTGCATATGATTATTTAGTATAGTATTTGTAATTTATCCCATTAGAAACGCACATTTTTGCCATGTTCTGTGCTTCTGTGGCTGCATGTGGAGTTTTCCACATAAGTTTCTTTGCGTAAATGTCCCTGCAGCATTTGGAAAGGGTTTGCTTTCTTGCAACCCCTCACGTTGCCTCTGAGTTCCCAAAACAATAATGCTTACACCAAACATTTCATGGATCAATGGTGGTTTGTTTTCCCCTCAAGCACCAGTTGATCCAATAATGAACCAAGTCCGCATATTAGAGTGACGTAAATAAAAACCCAGTGCTCCAGTGGACGAGGAGTGGTCAGAGACTGACTTCTGAGAATTTCGTGATTGTTTTTAAAGTTAAGGATAGTCACGGCTCTATAAAAGGCCTTTGTTGGCGAAGGACGGACTTGTGTTTGGGACGTGAGGGTGCTTGTGGAAGTCTTGTGATGTAGATGAAAGATTGGCTACAAACACTGCAGTTGCAGCTGGGGCTCATCAGGTTTTTCATTTGTAAAAGCGAGTGGACTCCACTCTAGCAACACCAGACAGCCATGCCCTTGCGACCGAGGGCTTCCTCTCAACCTGGAAGAGCAAACACCCTTCCAAGCCTTAAAAACATCCCAGTCCTGCGTCCGAGAGCTCTGTCGTCTCACGCTCAGTCGCCTTTAGAAGATGAGCTCTCTTGTCCGGTCTGCTGCGAGATCTTCACCGATCCCGTGGTCCTGAAGTGCAGCCACAGTTTCTGCCGCCTCTGCCTTCAGCAATTCTGGAACAAGAAGGCGGCCAAGAGGGAATGTCCCGTATGCAGGAGGAAGTGTTCTCTGACGGAGCCCACCGTGAGTCTGGCTCTGAAGAACGTGTGCGATGCCATTGCACAGAAGCAGAAAGGACAAGCGTCTGCGAAAGCAGGCTCATATTCAGCCAACGGGACGTCCAAACCAGAGGCTCTCTGTGCCACTCACGGGGAGGGACTCAAATTGTTCTGCCAATATGATGAAGAGGTTCTCTGCTGTGTTTGTCAAACGTCCAAGAAACATCAAGGCCACAGTGTGTGTCCTTTGGAAGAAGCAGCAAACGATCTCAAGGTGATGTATTAAGAATTTTCCTTAATTCTTAGTTGTAAGAAATAATTTTCCAAATAAGCCTTATTTTTACCAGAATAAACCAAAATAATAAGCCTAAAAATGGCTTTTGGTTGTTTTTATTTTGAAATTATTTATGACATGCATTTTAACCCTCCAAATTCTTATTACCATAATGCATACTAAAGCAATAAGCCCCAAGAAGCCGTGGTTTACAGTGAATTTATAACAGCTAAGGAGCGTTGTTGGGCACAACACGAAGCGGAGTGCCTACAACCCCCTTAGCTGTTATAAATTCACAGTAAACCACGACTTCACGGGGCTTATTGCTTTTATAAAACGGTTATTCCATATATGTAGTAAGGTTTCACAAAATAAAACAGAGCAAATAAAGTGTAATGATATTAATAAAAACAGCATTCTTCCACCAAACAATGTAGTTCTTCAGAAACGGTTGTGGTTCCAACAAAGTGGTTGCTGAGCAACACACAAATGTAAACAAAGGTGCATGTTTGTAGAGTAATTTACAACAGCTTCGAACTTGGCTCAACCAATCAGAATCAAGGACCGGAACTATCCGTTTTATAAAGATGCTTTTCTTGTATTTGTCACTATTCTCAATTCTTATTAATGTGGTGCAATAGATTTTTCGTGGTCATGGAAAACTTGATCATATCTGGGAATTTAATAAAATGAGGCCAAGTCAATTTTTAATAGTAATAACATTAATAGTGAATTTATGTTTTCCTAGAGTTAGAACTTGATTTTTTTAATAGTGCAATTTCTATATTATTATTATTATTATTTATTTTAAAATCTTGTTGTGGAATTCTTGTTTACGGTTTGCAAACTTTCCTTGAGGGTTGTTTTAAATTGGATTGAGATGTACATTTTTTTTTTCTCCAGGAGGAAATGCGGCAGATTGTCATCCCACTTAAGAAAAGTCTTCGAAGCCTCTATGAGGCCAAACAGCAATGTGATGACATAACTGTCCACATCAAGGTATCAACAAAGAACAAGATCCAGACTAATAAACATCATGTGATAGACTAGCCATCAACAGATACCTAGGGTAATCACTTAATTACCTTCTTTATTTTGGGTTCACATAGAACCAAAGGCAACAGACAGAGAAACAAGTTCACGAGGAGTTTGAAGAGCTTCGGCAATTTCTTCTGAAGGAGGAAGCTGCGAGGATTGCTGTTCTGGCAGAAGAAGAAGAGACAAAGAAACAGACGATGAAGAAAAAAACGGACATAATCGCTCGCGATATACTCAGCTTTTCTCATGCTGTCATGGCCATTGAAAATGAGATTGCTAATGATGACAGCCTCTTTTTACAAGTAACCTGCTGTATTTGGATTGTTAACTAATCTTATCAAGTTTGTACAAATATTAGCACAAGTAACTGATTTGAATTTTTCCCACAGAACTACAAGAATGTCAAAAAGAGGTAATAGTACATTGTACATTTGAGAGTATTTGATTGAATTATTTTCATAAAATCCTCAACTAACCTGATTGAATTTCCTTCCAGAGCTCAGATATCATTTCACGAACCAGAAAATGTCCCCAATTCTCTAATTGACGTTGCGGAGCACATCACCTCCCTGAAGTTCAGAGTGTGGGAAAAAATGCAGAGCCTGGTGGAATACAGTGAGTGTTCAGTTACTATAGAGCTGGATGAGTTTGTGTAAACATTCCGAATAGGTTCCCTTTAAATTCATGAGTCGGAATTTGAATGGCATTAGTTGATAAGGAAATTACTGAACTGCAATTCAAAGAAGTTCAAAGTTGGTTTGTTCAGCAAATGTCATGTTGTTTGGCTCCACTTTGAAGACTTAGAGTAAAGTAGAGCTTTCTGGGAAATACAGTTTTCAGCCAGCATGGCACATAAAATGATATAATGTAAAACATATTGTAAAATGATAATAAAATGTTATAATGAAAAAATATATTTATATTACAAAATATTAATATATTTCATTATTTATTTACTAATGTTTCTGAAAATAGCCCATATGATGTATGAATACATGTTTATGGATAATTCATTAAGATAAATTCAATGTCGTATTTAATTATATTAAATGTATTATATATTAAATTATATTTATTAACTACACTTAGTTTCTTAAAGCTGAAGTGTGTAATTACTCTTTAATGGGTGTAATTACTCACTAGCACAGCCAAATGGAATTGTGAAAATTTATTGTTTCGACAGGTTTCCGAAACCTTTCCGCCTGCTCCAATTAACCCTTTGCCAGGAGCTTGATTGACAGGTGATCTGACCAATCATAGTGACGAATCTGCCATTTTGTTTGACAAACAAACCAGACAGGAGAGTAGATTTACATTGGTGGACTTGAACTTGAAAATGGTGTGTATTGATGTTTTTCTGCGGCTGAAATAAGATACCTTCTGATGTTCATTCATGTTAATTTTGTGCTAATTTTGTTAAGAGGAAGAGATGATCGGTTCACGTGCTGCTTGAACTGAGGCAGTGATTTGTCACGAAACATTAAAGAGCCACAAAACGGTATTTATTGTTGGAATTCCTTTTAAAAAATGACCAGATTTGAAAGCTGAGACTTTGTTTCATGGCAAAAGTAACCTGATCTGTCTTGTCTGTCGGCGCGTTGTCAGTGTCCTCTTTGCTCCGCGATGTATTTTTCACTGCGTGAGAAAATGATGTGTGGCGTGAGAGCACCATTGGCTTGTTGGACGTAGCAACAGTTACTAAGGGGGGTGGGATTTTGCGAAGGGTCAGTTGGTCAAACAACCAGATATTCCCATCCCAAAAAACTTGGTTAAGCCAATGTTGTTACTGTGTCAGGATGTTTCAAAAAAGACCAAATATAAACCCCAAAAAACACTTTTAACACTAAAAAAATTACACACTTGAATTACATTTAAATTAAACAAATCTTACATTTTAACACTGGTACATAAATATACATTTGTTATAATGTCTTTCCGCTTTCTCTACCACTTAGCTCCAGTGACATTGGACCCCAACACAGCCTACCCCTGTTTGTCTCTTAGCAAGAGCCTGACGAGTGTGTCCAACACGGGGATGATGAAAGAGCTGCCTAATAACCCTGAGCGCTTTGACCACTTTGTTTTTGTACTGGGCTCCAAGGGTTTCACCTCAGGATGCCATTCCTGGGAGGTGGACGTAGGCCAAAATAATGACTGGGTAATCGGTGTGGTTAAAGAATCAGTAGCCAGGAAAGGCAAAATCTCAGGCTGTCCCGATGGAGGATTCTGGACCATGGCTCTCTCTGATGGGAAGTACACGGCCATGACCAGCCCCCACACCCCATTGCTCAACCTGAAGGGCCACCTGGAAAGGGTTCGGGTGAAGATCGACTATGATGCCGGAGAGGTCAGCTTCTTTGACTCAGTTGGTGTCACACCTGTCTACACGTTTAACGACCACTTCACTGAGACAATGTTCCCTTTTTTCTGTCCGGGGGCAAATATAAATGGGAACAATCCAGGGGCGCTGAAGATCTGCCCCGTGAGGGTGGCAGTATGGAACAGTGCCTCCTGGTGACGCTGGCTTTATTTACATATTTCCGCTTCAGTTATACAGTACCAGTCAAAGATTTGGAAACGTTTACCTTTTAGTCTATTAAATTACTATTTTTCCAGGTTTTAGAATGAAGTCTGAAGACTGATCTCTCACTAGCATTTATTCAGTGCCCGGGAACTCTTTACCATTCCTTGGAGAGACTCAGCAAAGATAAGCATGCGCACTCTTTATAGAGTAGCTTTCAGCCCATGTTGTTTACGGTCTTAACGCAAACTGACCGTTAATAATTTTTCAATTAATTCTCAAACTGTCTACCCAATAACTGTTAGTCTCCTATTCCCCGCCAACAGTTATTTATCTTTTAATTCAGTGGAAGCATCTTAGCCAAAAGACAGAGAATGCCTGCAAATTTAATTTCAGGCCTTTAAACATAATACTTTAGATAAATAGATTTTAAAGCACACAAGAAGCTCAGTCAAGTCTATCCAGACCTTTGATTGGTAGTGTATGATGTTAGGTTTTATGGACAGTTTGTTGTCTACCAAAATATATGTTTGGATAATTTACTAATATACATGTTTACCTCATATGTGACCCTGGAGCACAAAACCAGTCTTAAGTCGCTGGGGTATATTTGTAGCAATAGCCAAAAATACATCGTATGGGTAAAAATCATTGATTTTTCTTTTATGCCAGTAAAGATTATGTACGCTTATTTATTCAGCTTTCAGATGTATAAATCTGAATTTCAAAAAATTTACCCTTATGACTGGTTTTGTGCTCCAGGGTCACATATATAAATGTCACTGATATGTAATGCCAAATTAGAAAAGCATGCTGTATTTATTGTGCTTCTCACAAGTGTAGTACAAGTGATATGTTAGACTCAGTAGATCTATGTACCAGTTTATAAAACTCGAGGATATTGATCAAAATATAAACAGAATTCGTAACATTCTGTTGTTTATTAATGTGTAGCATGTTGTTTGTAGCGTAGAAATGTTCTCAGAAAACACTTATAAATAAATGCTAAATATCTAGTGTCGTGTTCTTTTTTTATGGTGAATGGCAAATTATATAGCACATAATGTTTGTGCATTCAGATAAATGACACAATATTGCAGTATTGTTTGTTTAGTTTAGTTTGTTTTATTGTATTGAACACACAAAGAATGAAGTTACCATGTCATAAACATTAATGACTGGGCTTATCACTTTGTTAATAATGGGTAAAATGGGCCATCTGGATCAGCCCTTTCGTGAACTTCCTTATATAAGTGTTTTTCTGGTTTGTTCTTCTGGTTTACCAGGGCATTGTTTTTCCAGTGTAGTCCAAGAATCCGCCGTGTTGCTTCTCAGTAAGGCTGCCAATGACACGGAACACCCCCTCTACACTTTCTCTGGTGTCGATAGGAGCCTAAAATTGACACCAAACAGAAATATTGTTACTAGAATGGATAACTGTCACATTTCTGACAAGTCTATGACGAGTGCTTCAAGGTTCACCAACTAGGTTCTGATTAGTTCATTTCAAATTGAATACAAAAATGGACCTGTTAAAGTGAATCAACTTTATTACTGAATTTAGATTTACCTCATCTCCCCCCATGTCCGTCCTCACCCATCCTGGGTGAATGGAAATGCAAAGGATCTCGTCTGCCTTTAAGTCCCTAGCGGTGTATATGGTCAACATGTTTAGACCAGCCTGAAAGGAAAACAGATGTTTAATGAAGTTTTAAGTCACATTCAAATTAGCAGTTTTGCTGCACGTCTAAACAAAGCCTTAGAATTCTTGCGTACCTTGCTGATGCTGTATGGGAAGAGTGGGAATGGCTCTTTCAGTACTGGCATGATAGTCATAGACGCTGCATCTGTAGAGATGTTGATCACAGCTGCTTTATCACATGACATCCCTGGTTTGCCACTGGCTTTAGCTGCCGTACGCAGATATGGCAGGTACTCCTGATTAAAAACATTCACAACAGATTGTCTCAGATGTACAAGAAATGTCACATTTTAGATTCGGCTTGCTCTCAAAAGTGATTTCCATTACCCTAATGACAAACAAAGGTCCTATCACGTTGGTGTTGAAGGTGTTTTGCATGTCCTCAGCAGTGGCGGTCAGCATGGTTTTTTGTGGCAACACTGCAGCGTTATTCACGAGCAGGTTCAAGCCATTCTTCCCCAGTAGAGAACCCACTTTTTTGGCAGACTCTTTGATAATGCACGGATCAGCAACATCTAATAGTAGCAGGAAAAAGGTGATGTTACTTCAAAACTTCAAAACTGTTAAAATGTAGTCCAGAAGACAAATGCACAATTACCAAGCTGCACAAGGGTGACAACACCTGGATGCTTTTTGGCCAGTTCTCTCAGTGCCTGAATCAGAAAGAGAATGTGAATGATTAAAAACAGATTTCTTGAGCTGTCTATAATCCTAAGCTCCTGAATACTCACCTCAGAGTTTGGCCCATCTGGGTCACGACATGCAGCAAAAATATTTGAGCAACGGGCCTCCAGGAGTTGCTTGACCATTTCTAAACCCAAGCCTCGGTTGGCTCCTGTCACTAGAGCACTACACGCCTTTAATGCCGCCATGTTCAAAGATGAAAGTCTGGTTCTGTCAACCAACCTGCCTCACTATATGGCTTTTTATATAGGATGCAGAGTGGACTCCACACCCCTTTATTGCACTGGTCTTTTTAGTGGTTGTAACCATGATGAGTCAAGATGACATTTCAAAGTGACTCAGCATGAACATATAAGCGCTGATTGCATTGAGTAATAAAACTGCTTGGATGCTTTCCAAAAGCTGCAATGTATTATTCCAAATCATAAATGCTATCTGGAGTGAAAGTAGAGATTAAAGATCTGGGCTAGAAAACAACAGCCCTAAAGAAAAATCTGGAAGGTATGACCCAGAAACGGATGAGCTAATTAGTAACCCCATTATTGCTACCGTCACCTTGAGCAAGGTATTTATTCATAGGTTCAAATCATGAAATAAGTCCGATTGAAGTACCAGGTGTGACCAATATTTGATCTTCATAGAAGTCACCACCATTCATCTGGATTCCAACTCTGCACTCTCTGGGCTTCTTTTTTTATGAAGTGCATTCTGGGATGCATGTTCACATGTATGCTGGAAACCAAACAGTCCAACTTGTCAATTTTCCATAAAAAAAAAAAAATGTGAATAGAACCATATGTAGGTAAGCGCATGTTAAATTTGTCTGTCATGGGATTTTCTTCTGAATCAGCTGTCCAGTAGTTACCTGTTAAGACTCGCTCTTTAGAATGAAGGTTCTCTATTTGCATTTGTGGTTCCATGAAAAACCTTTCAAATCCATGGAACCTTTCCATTCCACAATTTTATTGATTTATTTATTTTTTAAGATGTTTCTAAAGAACCTTTTTTGAAGTTCACTGAATGGTTCTTTGGGGAAGCAAAAATGGTTCTGTGGCATTGCTTTGAAAGCCCCCTTTTGGAAACTTTATATTTAAGTGTGTATTATTCTCCATTTTATGCCTTTACCCTTGAATGCTACAGCAATAAAGACTGTTCTCTCACTAGCTTTTTTTCAGTGCCCCATTCCTTGGAGAGACTTAGCAAAGATAAGCATGCGCACTCTTTAGTTTTCAGCCCATGTTGTTTACGGTCTTAAAGAGGTCATATGATGCGATTTCAATTTTTCCTTTCTCTTTGGAGTGTTACAAGCTCTTGGTGCATAAAAAAGATCTGTAAAGTTGCAAAGACTAAAGTCTCAAATCCAAAGAGATATTCTTTATAAAAGTTAAGAGTCAGTCACGCCTACCTAAAATAGCTCGTTCTAACACGTGTTGCCAGATCCAACTATTATAAGCGTTTTTGCACTTGTCTTTTCCACTTAATTTAACACTTTAGAAAGTTAATAAAGTAGGAAGTTGC